CCTCCAAATCTCTTGGCATAACTGAGTGAGCGCCTCCAATGGGGCATCTGTTTGTTGAAATATCTCAATCGGTATGCCATCAATTCCCGGAGCCTTGTTTGCTTGCACTACCCAAGGACCTTCACAGAGCTTAAAGACCCAACAATTAAAGGTCTCAAAACTTTAGTATTTTTCAACAATTTTGAGTTCTACAACAATTTTTACATTGCTTTCATGAAAACTCCAATGTGTATTGTCTTTTTTAAGCAAAGGAATGTGAGTTTCATCAGCTCAACCAACAATGAGTTTGGAGATCAGCTTTAAGGTCCTGTAGAATTATCAATTAAAAGAAACCTGGGCCTGCCACTATCCAGCTAGACTCAGCCAGCACTTGGTCTGTTACTTTCTTATGGCACTTACTGCTGATCTGGCATACACTTGTTTACATGCCTTATCTCACCTACTAGATTCTACGCTCTTTAAGGACAAGATCTCTATCAGACTTATCTTTGCATCATGCACATTGCCTGCAGATCTGGCAGGCCCCACATTGGCTGGCGTTCGTTAAATGAATACATGAGAGAATGAAAAAAAAAATCATACCTATTCAGGTTTAATGGTCTACATTTCATTCATCTGAGAAAAGCAGCTCTCGTGGCACTGTGGTTAAGCATTTGGCTGCTAACCAGAAGGTTGGTGATTCAAACCCACCAGCTGTTCCACAGGAGAAAGATGAGGCAGTCTTGTAAGATTTACAGCCCTGGAAACCCTATGGGGCAGTTCTACTCTGTCCTGTAGGGCGCTATGCGTAAGAAACAACTCGATGGCATTGGGTTTTGTATATGAAAGATTTGTATATGAAGAAAAACCCCACAATGATGAAAGCTAAGTTAGAGCTGTCATAAAGAAGACTTTCAGGAATTCTATTTCTTTTTCATAAATATAAATGCCACCTGGGTAACTAGTACCATTGAACTCTAAGGATTGGGGTACCTTTCGCTTTATAACTAGCAAAAAGCTAGGGAATTCTTGAAAAAATTAAGGTGCCTGGCTTTTTAGTTACGCTATCGCTTTGCCCATCTTTCCTTCTTTTTAATTTCCAATCATTCGTTCTATTACATACTGTTGAAATGCTTGGGCAAAAACATTGCTTTGCACTTCAGCTCTATTTTGGGGCTGAAGATAGCTTTACTGGGCAGAAAGCTCAATGTTTTATCTTTACTATCTCGTAAATTGTTAACGCTCAAGTATTAAACCAGCAATAAGCCAGAGCTCCCCTATCAATCATCCTTTCTTTTTTGTTTATACTAACCAGAAACTTGAGCTGCAGTTTTTTTTTTTTTTTTTCCTTTCCTTTCCCTGTAAAAGAATCACGGGAACCCAGGGGGAATACAATACGTAAATTAAAAAAATGGACCCGGCATAAACTTCTGTTCAGATAATTTTC